CACTAACGACCACAGACGAACATGTGGTTGTAGTTAATGAAACTATTCTCATCTAGCACTAACAACTACAAACGAACATGTGGTTGTAGTTAATGAAACTCTTCTAATCTAGCACTAACGACCAGAGAGGAACATGGACAAAGAATGGCGAATATAATTATTTTAATTGTTCATCTTGTCTTTTGTTATTTCAATCTGTAATTAAGATAGAAATTCTGTTTACTACAGGTAGCAATTTATTGTTTTAACAATTACTTAGCTTTACTACTTGATATATCAACCGTATGCTGTAGATTAGAATTTACTATTTATAAACCAATTGAAGCTTTGTACTGTCAGTTACGGTTCGTATTTTAGTGGAGTGATCCTGAAATAGCTGTAAAGCGAAATGTTAAGTGTCCAATTAAAGAAGGAAAATAACAAATTTGGTGTTATAAGGTTGTTTATCACTAGTATCAAATCACCTAATATTATTTCATGTCATGTCGTTGGTCTACTGGGTTGTTTTGTATTTTACTACTAGCGGAATGCATATTATTAAATATCACACAGCTAACTTTGTGAATTCTGTTTGTATTTATCTGTGCACTGATACAGTTTCAATTTGTAGCTGCGAACATCTAACTCAGTCTCGAAGCAGGTACTCTACGATAACAATGAGCCAGAATTGACTGATACGATGGTCTGTCTTGTCAAGAAACTGTACAATTGGCTTTAAAACATTTTCATGGTATTTTCACTACATTTGTAGTCAATTCGTAAGAGTCTTTTCTGACTGGCTGGTTTACATTTCTCCAATGACTTTCCACCTTTGTAGCCATTTAATTACATTTTTTACAGTCTGTTGTGACTGGCTGGTATATAATCACTTAAGATTCTACACATGAGTAAAATATACGGATGCCTATTCATGGTTTATGAATAATTAATACATAATCTGTGTTTCCCTCCAAAGTAACAACTCAGAAACGATTGAGTGAGACCATTGTATGTATATGTATATAAAATAAGTGTCAAAAAGATTTTGGTAGAAATTCCATTGTCAGTCCTAGTTGTCACCTTAAAGTCATAGTGGATAATGCCTGTGGTAGTAGCTCCCAAATGCGTTGGGGATATCCCATCTGTCAGACAAAATCCAAACGCTGATGTTAAACTAACCAGCAAACATAGAAAATCAGTTAAGGATATAGAGTTGAGTGCTTACATCCACAACGTCTCAACTGCCTTTCACTGCCTGCAGCCAGTTGTCGGAAGGCAGTGAACCTTAAGGTCTTATAATTCCTAAAGTAGAAATTAAACCACCCTAAAATTTCTACTATATGAAACTCCCAACATCAGCCATACAAAAGAAATAGAATAAAATAATCGATCTTAGATAGAACTACAAACCTTACCTTAATAGTTCTTATGTAGTTCATACTCCCAACTTTCTCCCTTACAAAAGAAATGGAATTAAATAAATGATCTTAGATAGAACTACAAACCCTACCTTTACAGTTCTTATGTAGTTCATACTCCCAACTTTCTCCCTTACAAAAGAAATGGAATTAAATAAATGATCTTAGATAGAACTACAAACCCTACCTTTACAGTTCTTATGTAGTTCATACATTCCCAACCTCCTCCCTTTCTCTTGAAAATTTATTCAAGTATAACACGGGAATGTTGAGATTTTTAATTTTTTTAAATTTAGCTGCTTAAAAGTAGCTGACAACCTCTAGTGACACAACAGATATTTTCTGTATCGAAAGTTTATTTTGTAAAATATTTTAATATTTATATAAAACAGTGTAATGTTTTTAATTGCCAGTGTTTGTAACCATTATTCTTCAATTTATTTATGAATAATACAACAGTATCCATAAAATAATTATAATTATTACAAACTGTTAAAAATGTTTTCAGCTGAGATATAACGATGCCTATTAAATTTTTTTTTTATCAATTTGAAAATCAGAAATACAAACGAACCAACATTTAAATATAATCATTTCTGCCAATAATATGAATTCTAACACTTTCATACATGTTTAATTAAAAACAAACAAAAACTGTTGTTACAAAACTGTTATTACAATTTGTTGTACCAAGCGACAGATGGCAGCATATACTTCACTCTCTATATGGCTTCAGGGCTATAGGGCAAAATTATAGACCAAAAAAAAAAAAAAAATAGGCCAACATTTTTTGAGAATAAAAAAGAAAAAAATAACCCATGTGCACACCCTGAAATTCTCTTAGTCTTTAGGTCCTTTCCTTTTAGAGCTATGGTACTGACTGACTGAACACACACAACACAGAGGCTGGTTTTTATTTTAGTATAGATGAATAAAACATTATTATATTTAGCTTTACCATTGTTGGAAAAGAAAAGTAAAACCATAGATAAAATACGCTTAAATTAAGAGATAAGTTTCCTAAAAATTAAATAAACGGGATAACAAACGTCTGCAATAAAAGAAAAAAGATCACTGAAACAATTAGGTGTTTAAACTGATAAGATAACGCTAGAAACCGGGTTTCGATACCCGTGGTGGGCAGAAAACAGATAACCCATTGTATTGCTTTGTGCTTAACTGAAAACAAACAATCTGATAAGGAAAAATAACAAACGCTGTTCCTTTCGTTCGGGGCAGACTTTAAGACCACAAGGCAGAACTGTGGAAAGTCATGGTCCTTGTAACTAAATGTCGATATACAGGCTCAACAGTGTTGACGATGCTGTTCTCTAAATAGCTCCCTGACCTCGCGTTAAGTCTCTGACCGAAGAAAAGGATTTTGGCACAGTGGTGGATAAGTTACTGATGTCATCTGTTACTAGTAGTTGCAAAACGAATTTAATTTTAGAGTATAGTTACAAACATCTTGATTACCAGTCAGAATAGGTAATTATCTCTATATAAATCACTAGATAGGTCTCATTTACCTAAAACAAAAGTAGTGACTTATGGGAAAGGGCTCAGATGAGGGCTACTGAGATAATTTTGGAGATGAATCGGTTGTGTTATAGCGAAAAGTTAGGATCTGTTAACTTTCATTCTTTTGAGAAAGAAGAGTAGAGGTGATCTTATGGAAGTTTACGTGAATATCCAGCGAATCAACAGCTTTTTTTTAAAGCAAAACTACATTGGGCTATCAGCTGTATCCACTGCGGGGAATCTAACCCCAGATTTTAGTAAAGTTAGTAAACTTTCCGCTGCCCCGACAGGCGACAAGTCAATAGGATAAATACCTTTTATAAAGATAAAAGGCAAATGGATACAAGTTTAAGATTTGTAAAAGACAGGCCAGGCTATAATTAAAATAGTGTATTTTTCCAACAGGATGAGCGAGTCCCTGTCAGCAGTAACGGAGGTCAGCACTTGACAGAAGTTTTAGATGGGAATCAACGATTTCCTGATAAATGAAGAGTGAGTTTAAATGTTTACTTTTTGTCCACATTTATCCGTATATTATGTCTCACCAATATATGATTTGGAAGAAAATCTACAAACTATACAGTAAAAATCCAACATTTATTTTCTCATTGTTTCGGTTTCGAATCTTGGTAATTGTTGCTATTAAGCTTGATTTATCACACATATTTTATTATGATATGAGATAAGTTTGTTTCTCCTGTAACTCCTCTAAGGATTCGCATTTAGACCTGTAGGATATGGTCAACTATGTTAAGAAGTTATATTAAAATAAATATATTTCATAGCTCCTGTGTTGGCTAAATATAGATCAGTCAGTTAGGGTGGCCACTAGGGGTACTGATATATCTCCAAGTTCTTCTTTCATTACGTGGAGTTTATATACAGTTTATGTACTTTCA